CGCTTTTGGTTTCAGTTTTGATGTAAACAAGATCTTCTCCGCACTGATGTTCTCTTTTTCCACAATATTTTTAATGAACAACGCAGCAGCGCCACATCTAGTGGCTTCAACTGGATAGGCTAACAAAAGCATTATAATGCAACGACAGTTACATCGCCATCGCATCTCGTGCCCCACTGATAAGGCTGCCTGACGCACACCTAAAATTCGAATGCAACGTTTTTGCATTCGAATGTGGATTTTTATTTTAAATTCGACGAATATTCGCAATTCAAATCTCTTTTTCCACAATATTTTTAATGAACAACGCAGCAGCGCCACATCTAGTGGCTTCAACTGGATAGGCTAACAAAAGCATTATAATGCAACGACAGTTACATCGTCATCGCATCTCGTGCCCCACTGATAAGGCTGCCTGACGCACACCTAAAATTCGAATGCAACGTTTTTGCATTAAAATGTGGATTTTTATTTTAAATTCGACGAATATTCGCAATTCTGATTTTTTTTGACAGCCCTATTTGCAACTTCTAAAATTTTAGTAATATATAAAGATATGACATGTTACTCTAAAATTTTATTTTTGAAAGATGTTTCTTACGCTCAACAATGCTGCATTTAATTAATTAAAAATACAGTAAAACTTTTGAAATTTTTTCAGCATTATTACAGTCTTCAGTGTCACACAATCCTCCAAAAATCATTCCAATATGCTGATTTGGTGCTCAAGAAACATTTCTTATTTTCAATGCTGAAAACAGTTGTGCTTTTTAATATGTTTGTGGAAACCGTGACACATTTTTCAGAAAATAGAAAGCTCAAAAGAACAGTATTTATTTGAAGTAGAAATGTTTTGTAAAATTACACATCTTTGCTGTTACTTTTGATCAGTTTATTGCATCCTTTCTGCATAAAAGCATTTAAAAAATAATAAACATTTTAAACTGCTATTTTATTGAAATTGATCAATATATAACACATTTAATACAAATAATATATATATATTAATAAATAATTATATACAATTATATACAAATAAAATAGTATAGGACTGTCACAAGACAAAACGACACACATATATTATATGTTATATACAGTACAGAAGTTGCATTTAAATCAAAGGGGGCCCCCTTGAGTTTAAATAGGCATGACACTCCCGGATACTAGTTCTGTACAGGACTTTTCTTTTTTAAATCCATTTCAGCCTGACGGAAACCTGAGGATGAACTCCTGGCAAAAGGAAAGGGATTAAAAGAATGTGACTCATCCTTTTTTTGCCAGCCCTAAGCTCATTCTCCAGTGATTAAAGGCACACTTGAGTGTTAAACACTGAGGCTGTCCTCGCCACGTGTTTACAAGCCTCTCTATGGGACTGATGAATGGCACGGGCGACAGAAACAGTGTTTGGAGGAGAGCTGATATGGCACTCGTCTAAGCGAGAGAAACAGAGGCTCGAGTCAGGAAACAATACCTCAGCCTGACTGGCATTGTCTGCCAGAAATGTCAAACAGGCTGCATTTGCATTCGCGCTCGTTAGTGCAGCATTCACGGCCGTTCACCGCAACAGACGTGCCTCTGAGAGCGCAATTAGTCTCAGGCAGCTATCTTTGCTGTTTACTGCTCCAGTGGCTAATATAGTTGCACTTTTCCAGCTAATCCAAGCCTTGGATGCTCTTGCGAGTGCTTTGATGGTTTTATCACATCACAGTGGTAAAGAAAGTGCTTTGTCTGACTTGCTCTTTATAGACTGACTCCACCAACAGTATCGACTCGGTTTTCTACTGTGGCGTGTCCCATTTCCCTCCAGATAAAATGTCCAAATGCACACTGGCTTTTGGCAAAGATGTCACGATCAATGCATTGCCTCGAATCAATTGATACATACACGTTAAATAATAATTGTATGGTCAAGTATTGATAAAAGCAAGACCTTGTGAGGTTCCGTTATTAGTAGAGAGTCTGTCCTTTGGGCTGGCCAGCGGGGCAAACGTCAGCCCGCTTTAGGCTACGGTTCGATATACTAACCCTTCGGTGTCTGGAGCCCATCTAGAATTCAGACAGCGAGGTCTCGTCCATCAGTCACATAGGCTTTGGCCATCTGAAAAGTGACCTGTGATCCGACAGAAATCCATGGCAGGAAAGTGCTTACCTGCACCTTTCCACGCAAGCTGCTCTATCAATCTCAGCATCGCTGCTGGAGGCGTTCAGGAAAACACACCTTTTCTGCACGCAACATTTACTATCAAAAAGACTCTTCGCTAGACTCAAATTTGTTATGATTTTCCAGAATGACACTGGAATTGTGTCAGTAAATGGCTGAATTCAAACTGTGGAGAAGATACGAGAGGTCACAGACTGCTTTACTGACTTTTCTTTTTCTTTTTTATGTCCTTTAAAAAGAAACGCGCACCATGATGAGATCAACTGCAATGTAAAGCTTTCAAATAAATAGGATAAAAATGTCGCTCTGACATCGATTGCTTAAGCAATACTGTGTCTATTGAAGGAAAGTGAAATATATCGGCTCTGAGCAGAAATACCCAGCACCTCGGGGCTTTAGAAAATGGTGGAGTGTATCATTTTTTCAGCAGCTGTCTGAAACACTCTGCTCTCCTCCAAAAAAAGAAGTGACAAAATGGCTCACCTTTGAAATCGGACATGATGCATGTCTTTCCTGAGAGAAGAGTGCGGAGAGAAGTCGCAGAGAGAAAGTCTTGATAAATACGGAGAATGACACCCGAGAAGGTGAGAAAAAGCCAGGACTAGAGATTAGCTTATACATCAGGCTACACTGTAAAAAAATGATTTTTTAAATTATTGAAATATGTTTTTGCAAGAAAATGCCTACTTCAAAATTTCACATTTAAGTCAGTGTGTTACTCGTCGATTCTTTGTAATTGTGTGAAAACTATTTCCAAATTCAGAGTACAGGAAGTCTCATTGCATATGCTTCAGTAAAAAAGGCAGAAATGCTGACCGAAAACGACATCGGTATGAATAAATCTATCACTCATCGATCACTTTTACCTGCTTTTGGCATGCTGACGTACACGTCAACAAACCGAGATGAACCGCTAATCGTCGAATCAATTAAAAAAAGAATTTCTCAAAAGAGTCACGCACTCATTCGCTCTCTCAGGGGTGCACTTTGGGCAGAACGGCCCCCGGTGGCTGCGGGCCGGGGCCAAACTAGCGAGCCGTCATCCGCAAGCGAGCAAGAGCAATCTGCTTTTTCATTTTTCAGCATGGCCAGGCCCAGCCGGAGATTGATCGTCACATATGGCCCCAGAAAACAAACTGTCAATACCTTGAGCGCTGGAGAATTTGAACAAATAGCCGCCCTCCCATTCAAGCTGCTCATTGCGTCCCATTTAACAGATTTTATTGACAGTTTCCTTCTTGTAATTAAAAGGAAAACTACTGGCCAGCAACCAAGATAAAGTTCAAAGATGGGGTCAACACAAAGGGAGCCAGAGGGCCATGGTGCGACTGTCGATGGCGGACAACATCAGAGCCTGTTATTGACATGCAGGTGCATAGTGATGGGCTCCTTACTTAAGAGGCATCTGAGCAGAGACTTATGCTAATTCGGACAGGGGCCGCAAACGTGCTTTTGAAGGATTTCAAAAGGGGCGGGGAGGGGTGGGAACACTGTTTAGTGTTTTGTTGTGTGTGCGCGTGAATAGAGGAAGAGAAAACATGAGAGAAAAAAAGACGGAGATATTGAGATATCACTCCAGCTGTACCTGAATAACTCTACCACTACATCTGTTGTTAAGATTCCCATAGGAGGAGATGAAATCAAAAGCAGGGAGTTTAACTCTTTCCATGCTCATACATTATCAACAGCACATTCTATTAAGAGGGGCGATGAATAAACAAACACTGCTTTAATTGAGCTGATGACAGGCAATTCAAGAGGCTTCAAGTGCACTTCAAGCTAAACGCATCATCTTATTTCATTTGCAGTAGGATTGCTGTAAATGATTTTGTTAATGATTTTGAACCAAAGACACATTGGACAATGGAAATTATAATGGAATGTAGATTTGAATTAGAGAAAACATCTTATTTAAGTTGATGTTAAAGAAAACAAGGTTATGACAGATAGAAGTGGGCCAATGACATGTAACAAAAAAAAAATCATAATTCTTAAAAAATGTATTCTTTATTAAAGCTGGTTTCATACCATTTCCAAAAATGTAAAAAAGTAACAAGTCATATTTTCTTTACCAATTAAATACATTAATCATTATTCTTAAAATAATTGTTTTAAAACAAGTTTTTAAATACTTTATATTTATTTATTTACTCATTTATTTATTTAGTTTTTACAAATACCATGAATTATTAATTAATAAATATTATTATGTTTTTGGTAAGTTGCACCACAACACCAGTAGTTTTCTCCCCCTTCTAATAAAGTAATAATAAAAGATTTTGTAAAACCATAAGGTTGTTTTCTTCATTTTGATATCAGTACTACTGATATATTTCGATTTTATAACCCACCCAAAAAAATGCCAAAATGATTTTTAATTAAAAAAATAAAAACGCGCTCATCATAGAAAATCATTATATTTATAAAATGCATTTATAATTAATTTTTGTAGACATTATTTAATCTGGACAAAAAATTAGTGTTTTGCCATTGACACTTTTTTTTCCATTGTAAATTTGTTGAAAAATGTGTTTTCAATGTTTTGTTGCCTGAACAACCCATAACAGTATCACAATTTGAATTCATCAAATCAAATATGACGTCTGCTCTGACTGGAATCTATAGCGTCTGTTAATTTTACCTGAGTTAGCCAGGGCTATAGCTTTAAGAGTGACGAACTCCTCCTTCTCCAGCTTCATGCTCTTGTACTTCTTCACCAGCTGAAGAATAGCGTTATTCAGGTCTAGTAGGCCAGCCAGCTTGGATTGGTCCTCATCCATGATGTAGTCTTCAGCGTAGACCAACTTGTCCTCAAAAGACAGCGAGCGGTAGACTACACGCAGGATCAGGATCTCCATCCATGCGCTCTGCAGAAGACTCATCTGGTCCGCCAGCGAGAGTGTGGAAAACCCTGAGAAAAAGCCAGAGAAAGAGCTCTCTTCAACTCAACAACCAATGCTCAGCCTCAAATCAACATTCAACGGCGGTATATGATATAAAAGCTCAGTTGATTGTCAGAAGTTTCTGGTTGTGTTAGTGGGAAGAATTGACATTCTGGAGGTGTAATGCAGAGGACAACTCCAGTGGGAGCGAGCTGAGGCACCTAGCACGAGCCTTGGCTCTCATCTCCTGCTGCGCTGCAGGCCAGGGGGCATCCTGAGGGAGGGCACTCCTTATCTCCCCCAACATGCAGCATGGATCAATTCTTCCCATCACACCAACTGAAAGACTAATTGCTTGCCTCAAACTCCTTCTCCTTCCTCCTCCCCCCACTCTGCACACACACTTTTCCCCTCATTTTCCTGTCTTTTTGCTGGAAGTGAAGGAAATTGTAAAGTTCATTTTCATGAATGCCTTTTGAAACTGACTAACACATGGCTTTTGTCTGTCTATAACACAAGGAGGTCAACCCACATGCTCAGTTTGGGGTCTGAGAAATATACTTAATATTGAGGTACCAGGGTGATACTTTCGAGATGTTTCCTTATACTATTAGACCCCAAGTATAAGAAGATGAATAAATGATTTTATTCTTCTTATACCCCCCCTGATTAATGCACACACTGTTGAGGAATAATTTCTATGTACTGGCCTTGGACTGGGACAGATGAATACTATTGAAATAATAGTAACAACAACAATAATAAATAAATAAATAAATAAGATAGATGATAATAATAATAATAATTATTATTATTATCAATCTTATTTATTTATTTATTTTAAGAGTTAATCATTTTTGGGATATTGTCATAATAATAATAATAATAATAATAACTACTAACATAAATAAATTATTTATTTATTTATATTATTATTATTATTATTATTATTATGAAAATACCCCCTAAATAAATAAATAAATAAATAAAAACAAAAGGCAGTTCAAATAAAGGCAAAAATAATAATAACTACTAACATAAATAAATTATTTATTTATTTATATTATTATTATTATTATTATTATTATTATGAAAATACCCCCTAAATAAATAAATAAATAAATAAAAACAAAAGGCAGTTCAAATAAAGGCAAAAAATGCAAGCAACCAAAAGCTGATCTAACATAGCCTGCAAAGAGAAAACAATTAAATAAATCTAAATTAACTGCGTAAGTGCTTGGGAGCCGTCCATCAGCTCTGAAGGTGAGGGACAGGCACAACAGCACCTGTTGGTGTTGGACCTTTTCGTCTCATCTCACTCGCTCTGCTCTTCCAAGAACAGATGAATTGTCTCTCTTTGCGACAGTGAGGGGGCTAATCTGGGTGGCGGGGGAACATGAGGAAAGAGATGCTCACCAACATCTGTTGTGGAGAGATGCCTTCAGAGGAAGCAAGCAATTTCACTCATTTTTTCTTTTCTTTTTTGAAATCTCTTTCTGTGAGTTAATCACTAATGGCAAGGAGCTCATTAGGTATAGGTTTCGGGCTATTGTTTATACCAACCGCTAATTTATTATCCCAAACTGTTAACATCTCTGATCTCATTAGAGGCAGACTAAGAGCTGGTGAGCAGTTGGTGCCTCCCCTGGCCTGCTGGTGCTAGTGTGCTCAATGCCAGTTGGCAGGGCCATCTTCTACTACTTAATAAAATCATCAAAAGGGATTAAGCCAAGAATTTCTTAAGGGGGTCCAATGTAAGACCACTGCATTCTTACAAAGACAGTGGCCTCAATGAAAGGTGGCATGGACTAAAAATAAGATCACACTCCGATTGGCCTCCTAAGAGGTATGTGTAATCCTTTAATATTGCTGAGAATTTGGAAAAAATCCACGGACATACTTTGAATATATATGCAAATTAGATTTTAAATGGCAAAACTCATTATAAATAAAAATAACAAATCATATGCACACTTTTGACTATAAATAATGTGGTATTGAGTATCTGACTGAATATCTAAAAAGCTTTTTCATGTTTAAATACACAGTAATATAAGTACAAGTAAGCCATTGGTAGATTCACTTTTCGAAAAACAATAAACGCTGTGGCGCTTTTGCTCATCATCACTGACTCAACCAATGGTGTAAGTTTGGAGTCTGTTTGTCCCAATGGAAGACCCAATGGAATTTGTCCCAATTTGAACCAATGGAAGACACAAATATTATCATTTGTGCACTTCCGGTTGGTAACACTAGCGGCAGATTTAAAAGATTATGATCAGTAGAGTTTATCACGAAAATAAACAAATCATACTGAATGATGGACCACCGAAGACATGCATCAAGACAGATCGAGAGACAGAGAGAGAGAGACAGAGGGACAAAGAGAATGAGAGCACGAGGGACAAACAGAGAGACAAAATAAAGGCAGGGGGCGGGTGGGGAGGGGGTTGTGGAGTGGAGTGGCAGATGGACGGAGCCCATCGCCTAGAGCTCCCCCTGTGCCACTCCCAGCCCTCCCTCTCAGCCACTGCTGTTAGTAAATAATTAGATTTACACATTCCCCAATCTCCACACATCTCTCCGCAGAATAATTAAAAGCCGGATGATTAGTTTATTGAGTGGAAGGAAGAACTTTTTTTCCCTCTTTATTGAGGTCCATCAATGATTTTATCAGGGGCTTGCGCTATTTACGTTGTCATGCCAGTGCAGGCATCCAATTTTTCTTATCTCCCTGATTAATACAAATGCTGTTTCAGGACGCATTAATTAACAGATACAAATCTACGTTCTCATGGCCGGATCGATACAGAGAAGAAAAGAGCCATCAATGTGAATTTACTGCTGATGATGGAAAAGGTTCTCTATTGACATTTACGCGAGGGCAAACTTTAAAGATGCATTTTTCCCCCTTCTTTTCATCTGTTATTTCATTTCACAAAAGAGCTTGGTGGCGACTGTGATTACAGTTCACCTTTGGATGCTTTGCTGCGTGAGAAAGGATCCAAAGAGCCGAATTAAAGCGTGTCACTGTCATTTCAGCTGTGGCAAATGTCTACAACCCTTTTCCCAAAGGACTTCCTGTAACAAGAGGAAGTTTATTGACTCAGTATAGACATGACACTAAACAAGGCACGACAAACTATATATATATATACACACACACACACACACACACACACACACACACGCACACACACACACACTATTCATTCATTTTACTAATTATTTTTATTTCTAAATTAGACTGCAGTTTTTATATGTATACATACACAAATATTTAACAATATAATAATATATTAAATGTGAATGTAAATTAAAATAATCAATAAGTATATCCTGATATATTTCAAAATCACTTTTTAAACAGCTTTTTTATGTAAATGCATTATCTTATTTTATTTATTTGTTTGCATTTATTTATTTACATGGCATTTATTTATTTGCAAGCCATGTAACTCTGGATAAGAGACTCTTTTATTTGACAGACACAAAGCAGACTGCCCCATCCTGATGACACATGAGCATTATCTGATCCAGCGTTCAATCACCAGTAACGTCCTCTCAATTTAACTCTCTTAGCCCGGAGACCAGCTTCAGATCTCAGACTCCCTCTCTCTCCAGCAGCACTGAAAGGGCTTTGCCACTGGCACAATCTCTCTTCTTCTCTCTATCTCTCTTTTCTCTCAGTAAACTGATGCACTTTGTGCTAGACGGGGAGGAAAGGCTAAGTATGTGGATCTGTGAAGGTTACACCAGTAGAAGGTATCTGATGGCTGAGGCCTTGTGAAGCCTGCAGTGGCTTTTCAGAAGAAATAAGCATTGGAGCAGCATATAGCACAGGCTGACAGAAAGAGGCTGCGGTGCAGCCATGCGAAGTTAACCCCTGCCGGGCAGGACTGCTCACCACCAGGCCTCACAGCAACCACCGGCCGTCCGTCTGCCAAATCTTTTCTGACTGCACGTTTACACAGTGAGAGAGCCAACCGAGACAAACACACACACACACACACATATGCGGTCGTTCCACCTCCTCGTCTTCCTCAAAGCAGACTTCACCTCAGCATCGCTACTTAGCCGTCATATAAACACACGTGTGCTCAACTCCTCCGTCTCACTCTCAGCAACACCCCTGCTTATTTTCTCATGGTTGCAGGGTAAATGAACACGCTTGAGCTATGAGAATCAGCGCTATTCTGCGTGCCGACCGTGCTGGATGTTCATTCGATGCATCCTGGCTCCCTCCTGAGCTCCTGTGTGAATATACACTCTATTTGCTTTCACACTTTGTCAAGACGATGATGACACGGTGACTAATCTACTTGCAAAAATAGTGCTGTGGAGAGCGAAGGTGAGACTTAGTAATATTAGTAGTCCAAGTTGTCATATCGCCTTACACAGTGAGAGAGCCAACCGAGACAAACACACACACACACACACATATGCGGTCGTTCCACCTCCTCGTCTTCCTCAAAGCAGACTTCACCTCAGCATCGCTACTTAGCCGTCATATAAACACACGTGTGCTCAACTCCTCCGTCTCACTCTCAGCAACACCCCTGCTTATTTTCTCATGGTTGCAGGGTAAATGAACACGCTTGAGCAATGAGAATCAGCGCTATTCTGCGTGCCGACCGTGCTGGATGTTTATTTGATGCATCCTGGCTCCCTCCTGAGCTCCTGTGTGAATATACACTCTATTTGCTTTCACACTTTGTAAAGACGATGATGACACGGTGACTAATCTACTTGCAAAAATAGTGCTGTGGAGAGCGAAGGTGAGACTTAGTAATATTAGAAGTCCAAGTTGTCATATCGCCTTAATGGAACAACATTTGATAATAAAACAACAAGAAACTATAACAGATTTCAACGTATTAACATCTCACAGTATCAAGAAAAACAGCACGATTGTGAGAGTGATATTGCTTTTATACTATCCAGTTCAATAAACAACAAATTAATATTGATTAACTTCCATTTTAAACTTACAATATTAGCATTTACATTGTGTAGCTCTGGTCTCAAT